AAAGAGATGTAAGATACATCTTATCTCAAGTGCAGCATGTTTTCTATTAAGGAGTACTCTTACTAATTTATAAGTCTGTTAAATAGAAGAAAATAGCCCAGGGCAGTGTGCCTGCTTGGACCGCATGTGATTCCTTGTGGAGTGACCCAAGGATCTGCCATAGCCTGCTGATCCAGTACAAAGTCCCTGGGTTTGAGTCACATCAAACTAGTCCAAAGTAGCAAAACACTGACACAGTGACTTGGGTCTTCCTGTGATGGGTGAAAGCAGGGTTGTTGTCCCCAGCTAAACTGTGATGAAATATTTGAGTGATATTGCCTCTAATTTAAAAAAGTACTAGAGTCAAGAAGGTTCTCTGTGTATTATGGAACTGATCTATTGCTGGAATAATTTGCATAGACTGAATGTTAAATATGTGTGAAAATTATTGTTTATATGGCATTTCGTTCGTTTAATGATTAAATCTCACATAGCAGTAAATAATAGCAACAAACACCCACTACGTCCAGTGTTTGGGGGTGGAGTTTAAACATGCTTCCATTCTCATGTAAATAATTTAAATTCCGTTGTGTTTTTTTTTTTTTTTTTCCTTTCTCCTTTTTGGTCTATATGTAGAAGGATCCTTATTGACACTGGGGAGCCAGCTGTTCCTGAATATATTGGCTGTTTAAAGCAGGCACTGGCAGAATTCAACATCTCAATTCAAGAAATTTTAGTGACTCACTGGCATCCTGATCATAGTGGTGGAATACCTGCTATCTGCAAAACCATCCCAAGTGGTAGGCCATGGATTTCAGATATTGCTGGAAATGTCTTAGACTTCTGACAAGAAATAACTCTCTCTGGTGATAATATGAAACAGCTGGATCATTCTTTTGGAATCTCCATATAAACTGCTTGTAATTTCATGATACCATTGTGTTGAATGCGTAGAATGAGATCAGCGAATGATCAGAGTATTATAGTACTATGAGTTTAATACCTGAGTGTAATTTCATATGGAATTTTTCTTGTTTGAATGAGCAAGAACCTACTTTGCCATCAGCAGTTTGCACAGTATGAAGAAAGAGATATGAGAAGAGCTTAATACTTGTCTAAAAGGACAGTAGTAACAAATTTACTCTTGTTTTCAATTAAATAAAAGCAGTAAGGAACTAAATAACTTCCTTTCTGAAGAGGAAACATATTTTTAAGATTCCTTTCAGTCGACTATTGATAATTATTGATAAATTACAAACCACAAGTCATGAGGGGAAAGGGGTCAGGAGAGTTTGCAGGTAAATTCTAGTACTGGTGTATTTTATATCGGTACATCTTAAGTGGAATTTCAGCTTAAGTAGCTGAGAAGAGAATAAGCCTCATGGATAATGCTGTTGCTGCTTTGTCAGACTCTGTCACACACTGCAGCTTTATCAGTTTTTGTGATGCTGCCAGTACTTATCTCCAAGGAAGCCTGGACACTACTGAAAACAGTATTGGTTTCAGTGAGGATTTTGACCTTGTCAGTCCTTAAGGATGACTATCAAGCCCTGCAAGTGTTATGCAGTTAACTGATTTCTAGGTTGTTCTCTGTAGCATCCTTGGCCATTCCAGCCAAGATACTGAAGGAACGTGCACAGTTCAGAACTGCAGATTCTGAGGGAAGCCCAGGTCCAAAAGGGAGCCATCCAGTTCTAGGCAAGTGCTGAATGGTGCCTTTATGAATCATGTCAGCCTCGAGTTCAGAAATCTCTGTGCTACTTTAGAAACTTCGTTTTGAGGTTTTGTCAAGAAGAAACATCTTGAATTGAAGTTTCTCTACAAATTTGCCTTTTTTGCTTTTCCATCTTCAAAACTGATGCAGGTACACAAGAAATTTGTATTCAGATTCAGAGGTTTCTCCCTCTTCAGTGTTTGTGGCTTCAGAAAAAAGTTGCTTTATAAATATAAAATTTCTCTACAAAATTCCTTATTTTTAAATTTGCGTTCATGTAAAGTAATGATTAATTGTGCTTCTACAAAAAGTACTCTTGCTGTGGAAGCAGCTTTGTTAGTGGCATATTTAAAATGTGAACCTCTGTGTTCTTTTTCTGCTTTCTTTAAATAGACACCAAATATCGCATCAGTAAACTTCCCCGTGTCCCCCATCGTGAAGAAGTAATAGGAGAAGGTGAACATGAGTATTCATATCTTAAAGACGGAGATGTCTTACAGACAGAGGGAGCCACACTCAGGTAAATGTCAATCTCTGCAGGTTTTTCCCCTCAGAATTCTGTTGTTTCTGTGTATCTTAATTTTTAAGGATCGGCAATCCATGCATCTGATCCTGCCAGTACTCACCCACTCGGATGCACTTCCTATTGTGATGCAGGAAGGATTTATTTATTGATCGTTTTTGTTCCTCTGCAAAGAAGTTAGGAATACGTGAAAAATCCTGTTCATTTTTCTTTTCAGGAATAGTTTTATACACATTATCATTGCTTTAGATGAGTAATTATTTTTAATGGAGAATTTAAAATGCTCCATATGGACAATTTAGCATGCCTTTCTCTTTAGTATGAAAATACATACCAAGGAGATAACTTTGTTCAATTTTAATCATTTTGGCTGTCAGGTTCTTGCAAAGTGTGAATTTAAGAGGACTTTTATTTTCCAGGGCCTGATGCTTGTCTTGTTGGCATGAGTAAATCTGAAACCAGAAGCCACCCCCCCACTCCACCCCCTCCAAAAAAGTTGACCATCCTCTTTGCACAATTCTTTCATCCAAAAGTCAGGAGTTGTCTGCTTTCCTCATTGCTTAGGACTAATCTTGCTGTTTTCCTCTATTAGATGTGAAGTATATCCGAGTGGTAGCTGTCTGATTGGAAGAAAACCTATACAGGATATCATTGTTAAAAAAACATTTTATTTTATATGTTTTTAAAAAAAATACATGTCGAGATCCAGGGGAGATTGAACCTGTATCACTGTTGTGAGTGGGCCATGTTTGGACAAAATAAGCGGCCAAGCAAGACAGAGGTGGCATATTTTGTGGTTATACAGCCAAATTTTGTTTCACTAAATGCACAGATAGCTTGATTCAGTCAGTATTTTAAGGGTACTCTTAGATTCCCCACTGATTCTAAAACAATAGCATTATCCACATTACATTTTTAGTCAGCTACCTTCAAGTTTTCAAGGAGGTGTGCCAGGCTGTAGTTTTGTTCCGTGCTGGTCATGAAGCTTCCTGATCGATTTTCATCAGGAGCTGGAATACATCACTCTCAGAAAAGCAGGACACTGTCAGCCTGATTTACGGTGTCCCTGCAGGCAAGGGCTCTCGGGCTTCCTGCTGCTCTGGAGCCCTCGCACGAGGTGCTGCTTGCCTGGGAACTGTTTGCAGTTGGCCTGTGCACCACATTTGGCAGCAGCTCCGCAGCCTCCTGCTCTTCCCTTCTGCAGGGAACGAGAAGGTTTTGGTGAATTGCAGCCGTGATGCTGCTCTGAGTTGCATCATTTCGATTGGAACCAGTCTCAGTTTGAAGCCTTCTGCCTTTCAGAAATGTCAGTGAAAGGACACTGCAGTGCAGCTTTCCAGTAGCTCGAGTTACTTCGTACATGCTGACTGTCCTTCCCCCTTTGCTGCACTCTGATGCATTCGGATTCACTCAAGCTGCGGGCTCCTAAATCTTACCTTTAAGATATTTAGTGACCTGCATATAGAACAGCTAAAAGATCATCATTCTGTATTGTATCTGACAGCTGTGTTCCACTGTGTCATGGGGTTTTTGGACAAAAGCAAAATTCAGGAAAGAGAATTTCTTCTGGGTTGGGTACAGAAGTATATAGCAAGTTTCTAAAAGGATCAGCAATATCATCTTTATTCTGTTCTGTTAAGTGCCTACATATGTCAATAACTTAATATTTTCCAATCTGCAAATAATGTGTCGATTTTCCTTTCTAAAGCTTCAGAGTAAAGCCCTCTGTGCCACAATTCTACCTGGCTAGCCAGCTTTCTTAATAGTCTCTTGAAGAATATACAGATGTTATTAGGATGTGCTGTGAAAATAAAAGTATGACAGTGATCTCTGTGGTTCTCTACATGGCATTGGAAAATGGACTGGTGTTAGGCAAAATGGCATTGACATTTTAAGTTCTTCAGTGCTTTGCTAATTTTTGTGTACTCTATTATAAATGTAAGGATATATTATTATTTGTTTCTACCTTTTGAAAATTATGCATAAATGACTCCTATATGAAAAATGTATGTTTGTTTTTTGTTGTTGTTGTTGTTGTTGTTTTTCATTTTTGTGTCTTTAAACAGGGTTTTATATACGCCTGGGCACACTGATGATCATATGTCTTTACATCTAGAAGAAGAAAATGCTTTATTTTCTGGTGACTGTATTTTAGGAGAAGGAACAACAATAATTGAAGACCTTTTTGAGTACATGAAAACTTTGCAAAGGTTATTACAAATGAAACCAGACTTAATTTATCCAGGTTAGTAATTTTATTTTATTTGTGTGATTAAATGCACTGTATAATTTTTAATTATCTCCTCTAAGGATTTGATTACAATAAGAGTTCTCAGCATTATTGCTAATATAACAATTCAAGTTTATTACTTAATATGTGTCCAATGTAAAGTTGTTAACTTTATGGCATTGTTGCTGCAGGACCATAAAACCTCTAAAACCTCTCTCATTGATAGAGACTGTTGTAGAAAGCACAGAGCAAGTTTGTTTTCCTTATATTACTCTGTCCATCCCCTTTTGGTCCTTTGCATCTGGGTACACTATCTGTTGGGTAACATAGTAAAGTTTTTGGAGAGAGACTCGTGTCCTTTACATCACAGATACCATCATATAGTTCTGCAGCCTTCCAAGATGAGTTTGCAGTTTATCGTAGTTAATGACTTAGCTTGAATTTGAGCAAGAGCTAAGAGATCAAATGTGCCATTCTAATAATTTGCTGACTCATTCAGCGACTTTTCTTCTTCTTTCCCCTCTATCTTCACCAAATCTTCAGAATGCATCTAATTTTCATATAAGCCATGTGTATGTTTGTGAAGATTGGTTTTTGAGAATTTACTGTGTAATGAAGATTTAAGCTCCTTGTTTTCTTTTTCAGAACTATTTTTCAGGACTCTTCCTCACCTTCCTATTTCATTTTTTTCACACTAACCATTTTGAGTGACTGCATCTACCTTCTTATTTTCTTCCGTCATCCCTCTCTGTTTAGCCTACATACCCAAATCCTTTTTGTCTTTGTTCTTAAAACATGCTTCTTCTGAAGTAAGTGCTCTTAAATAGCATTTTTATGCATAGATCTTAAAGGAAAGTGTCATTATATGTATTTTGTGCGTGGGGAACATAGAAATAGTGACTCATTCATGATCACTAACTACTGGTAAAATTAAGAATATTTTAGGCTCTTAAATCTACTGCTCAATCAAATGTTCTTTTTCTTTCTTAAATACCTACAAAACAAAATTTGTTTCTCTAATTAAATTTCTGCCATCCTAAAAACCTATATGCTAAATTCTACTCTGTTCAATAGTTTCATTTGCTGTATTTAGGTCTCCCTTAATTATTATTTATCTAGATTACACACTCACTAAGGCTGAATGTTTGTCCCACTTATCTGTAACTGTTTACTCCGCTGCTGTAAATATGTTCATGCTGCATGTGCAGTTAGGAAGGCAATAGGATAGTCTGTGATTTCAGTGATGAGTAGCGATGCATTGAGCTGGTTTAGAACTAATTAATGTTATCACTATTGCTCAGTCAAAATAATTATTTATAGTATTGGTAGCTATTATAGTAAAATGGGAACTAAGAGGTAAGAACAGAGGGTGCTTTGTTTTACCTGTGCATCCTGTGTAACCTGGGTTCACTGACCTTAGTATAAGGTTTCCATACAAGTTTCCAGAATTCTAGTACTGCTTCTCTCTTCCCTGCCTGTGCTTTAGCACTTACGCTAGGGGAGCATGATGAATTTTTTTAACAACTTGACTGCTTGCTAAGTGTAAGTAGCTAAATTTAGCCAATGCTCCTTCCTATTTGTCTGTTTTTCTGTTGTTTTTCATTATTTATTTATTTATTTATTTAATATGGAAGGGATTTTGCACCTAGAACAGGCACTTCAGCCCATGTGCAGCTAATACTTGATTAAGAATCCTTGGGAATAGAAAAAAATGTGTTTTAGCCAGCAGAGGGCTCCAAATCCTATAATATACACTGTTACTTGATAAAGTAGAAAAAAACAGTGAGGTCTATGCAAGACTTTGATCCAATTATTTTTGAGTTTTATTTATTTATTTATTTTTGCTTTAATTGCACACCTGTAGAGTAAGAGAATTGGTATTACAGGGTGTGATGAGAATAAATACTGGCTGTGATTATCTGGGCCATACAGAGACCACAAATAATATGAAGCTGTCTGACCAAAAGTCTAAATCATTATTGGAAAGATAGTTGTATTTCATATCTTGAAAAAAATCATGAGAAATGATGAATGATGCAGATCCACATCTAGATGTGGCTCCCAGCTTTTTGGCATTGTTTTAAAACTTGGCCACAGGGGTATAGTGGATTTGGAATTCCTTTAACCTTGCAAACTGGGAGTTCCATTCTAGATATTGGGATTACATTTGTAGTACACCTTAGTAAATTAAAAAATCCATAATTGCAGGAACTAGTTTCTGTAGATGTTAATTTGAATGCTCTCTTCTGACTTCTGTCACCAGAGAATGTAAAAGAACGGACAATTACCATTATAGTTTCTGCTCTGCATACCCTAATACTATTTTTAGAAATTTAAGCTGTGTTTTTATAAACAGTAATATATTTGCTAGAGTTATATCACTAAATTATTATGCAAAGAAATAGAGCTTCAGATTAAATATTTTTGATGTTAATATGTATTTTAAATTATTAAATCAAATTATTATTAATCATGTGCATAGTTTAGACATACTGCTTATCATTTATTCATAACACTGTATTGTATAAGATAAGCCTAAATATGTATATTTGAATTTCTAGGTCACCTGAAGTCAGTATATAATTTGAGATATGTATCGACGGTTTTGACAATTGTCAAAGTTTCTTTAGACACTATTTATTTCACAAATATTCAAAGCTTGAAGTAGTTGTTCTTCTATATCCTCTATCCTCTGCCTGATGATAGCCAGCAAGCTGTTCTTGCCGGCTATCCTCAGGCAAGATAAGCTTTAAGCTAGAAAGTCTTAAAATCCACTTAGTTAACAACCCAAAATTACAAGTAGAAAATGTGACCATGGGGAGGTGGGGCAGTATTTAACTTTCCACAAAGCTCAATCCTTTATCAATAGGAATAGCAACCAAACCTTTTTCCAATTAGAGTCAAAGACCTTTCAGTAAGTAGCATTACTGATGTGGCTTGATAAATCTGGTGGGGGGGAAAGCGGGGAGTGAGTGTGTTTTGTTTATTAAACTAAATTCAGGCAGACCTAAAATGACCCATGTAAAACCTTTCTTCTATATTGTTTATTCCTGCTACTGTGTGTCAAGTTTGGTTCACTATTTTCTCTTCTATTTATATTGTTAAGGATGCAAATGAAAATACGTACATGGGGAGTAGTATGAGCAAGTCCTGAAAGATTTAATTCCCCCAATGAAACACGTTATTTCTCTCTCTGTGATAGTTATTTACTCCCACAACAGGGACAGTAGCCTAGAACACAAGTCTTTGCCTCAGCCATGACTGTACACGGTCCAGTATCAATTTAAATCATCGGTATCAATATCCCAGGGTGAGACAGACAGAGGTAATAAAATAATCTGAAATTAATCTTTCAAGCCCTTTAAAGGCTTAAAGTAATGTTTAAAATAATGAACTCTTTTTATCCTTTTTTATTTAAAAGCAGATTAAAGTAGTCTTTGCTTCCTTTCTTTATTCCATCAGAAGCATTACTTTCCTATTCAGACTTCTTAGATCTGTTTTCTTTCTCTCCCTTTCCATTTTCATCCTTACCAGTTGCTGACTATTATGGTGACATTCTAAATTATTTTTGGCCTATTTATATTTTAAAAACGTATGATGTAATATATATGATGTAATATCAAGCATACTCTTGTCAAGCTGGTATGCACACAGATACTGCTCCTTCCATAAGACCTGTACGCCAACCAGAGCTAACATCAGAAAGAGTCAGTTATCTCATAGCATACTTAACTCTGCTTTTAAATAATATAGTCTGTGTATGGCTTTCAATTTAGGTCATGGACCAGTGGTACGTGATGCAAACGCTAGGATCCAAGGATACATTACTCACCGAAATGCACGTGAACAGCAAATTCTAAGCGTTTTGCAGAAGAATGCTGGAAAATCATATACATCCTCGGAGCTTGTGAAGATAGTATACCAGGTGATTCCTGTTAAGTTTTTGGATACAACTTAAAAATGAAGCTATAGTCACAAAACTGTATGTAACAGCCTAGGTATTTGAGTGAAGGCTTCAATGTTGACCACGATGGCTTTTTAAAAAAGCATTTCTGCGTGTTCAAGACACATGATTCTGCATTTAAATAGTATTGCCTAAGCACTTCATTGGGTTGGAGCTCAAATGATTTTTTCTAACTTCTCGCTTCACTAACTAAATGGTGCAAAGCTTCGTTTTCAAGGACCAAACAAAAATTAGGTTGTAGTGTTTCAGACAGAGTGGAAAATATGAGATGACTGCTTTTCTTTCATTCTGTATTTTAACAAAAAAAGTAGTATGTCAGAGGGTATCTGAAGTCACTTAGAAGGACCGGCTAGAACATCTAGATCCAGATTCATCAGCCCGCAAAAGGGTGCAGGTGCCTTGCGGTTTGACATGAGCTGGATATTGCATTCAGAGGTTGGGTAGTTCCTGTGTGTAAGAATACTTTTTTGCTGTATCATCCATCTTCACACAACCTCTCTAATTTGTACACATTAGAAAAATCAAATTTTCATATGTACATTTACTACAAAAGCGCAACTTCTCCTGTCAATATTTGATAAGATTTTTCTCTGTGCTGATTTCTCTGTAAAAATTTAATGCTAAAAAGTGTGATGGTATTCTCTTTAAAGATTCTTTAAAAGATTCACAATTAAGCCATTTTCGGTAACTTTTTCTGACAGACCTATGCATTATTTCTGATTTTTTAATTATTATTATTTAGAAAAAGGCATTGCTTTTAGGAAGATAGTTCTTTCCAATTCCCAGAAGGGAATTTTGAGAAATACTATCGCTTGTGTGGGAACATTTTGCTATAAATTTCGCTTGAAGCATTTTTTTCTTTTTTAGTTGTTTATTAATAGATAATAATTCTTAAAGCTATTTAACCCCCTGCAAATATTTTTGTGGAATAGAAATAACAGGTATGCATGGAGAAATGCAGTTTTGAATTGGTCATTAAGATGTGTGGGGGAAAAAAAAACACCTAGCTACATGGACAGCTCGATACAGACCAAGTTCAGAAGAGCAGCCTTAGTGTTGGCCAAAGTTTGCATAGGCAAAAAAAATAAGCACAGTAAACAAAAGGGTGTTATTAGGCTATGAGTTTAGCTGGTGTAAAGTCAGATTTACTCATTTAAGGTATTTTTCCTTACTGTTTAACTGTGTGTTGAATACAGGTTCTCTTCTAAATCGGTGTGTTAAGTCATGCATTCTGTATCACAAGAATTTGGAGACATTTAAACAAATATAAGACGTATATTTGTTTCCACTAGGACATTCCTGAGAATTTACTGAAAGCAGCAGAAAAGAATCTCGTAGTCCATCTAAAGAAGTTGGAAAAAGAAGGAAAAGTGTGTAAGTTGGGGCTGGGGGGGAGGCTTGTTTTGATTTTTTTCTGTGTATTGTTTTGTAAAATGTTTGAGTGCAATGTATAACAATATATTGTTTCCTGGAAGAAAACAGTAATTAATTTGTGACACGGTTCTTGTAGGTATCATTCAGACAAATGAAAGTAGAATTAGGCTTAAAAAATCCATAGTTATAGAGTATATCTAAAATTCTAGAAAATATTTTATTAAGCGTTTATAAGAGCACTGCAAAAATTACTGCAATGCCTACCATTACTTTGAAACTTTGATTTAAAACATGCTCTTGAATATATTCCTAATATCAGCATTTATGTTTTTTAATACTTTCTGAAATACATACCTAAGTATACATGTACATAGTATTTGTGGAATTTCATTTCATGCTTCTGTCTTCTCCACATATGTATTGCTGTGTGTTTGTGTCTAGAGAGGGAGATCTCATGCAGTGTTCCTCTTATAATTTCAGTACAAGTCACAGTATTTAAGTAGTGTGACTATATTTAGTTGACTGGTTTTGTATTTAATTCTATTTCTGTAATAGCATGAGCAATTGGAAACATTCCTCAGCCAGAGGCTAAGGTTTTATTTCTTTCTGGAGATTAAATAAGCATACCCTGGCCTGCCTATACACTAGTGGATAATCACATGAATGTGTAAAAATGTTTTTTCCAGCATTTACTAGCTTAATGACGTTACTGTATTTTTCCAACTTGGATCCTCTGTTTGTTTTAATCATAAATCAGCTATTTAGGTTTGATACTGTTTGAACATGTAAGACTTGATTTTTGTAATAATGAAGACTTGATTTTTATTTTAAGAAAATAACTAGCATCACTCCAATACATTTATTGCTGAGGTTCAGAAAATGAGGTCTCCACACATGCTTTGTGCTGAATGCCATGGGAACTTACTTAAATGGTCCCTTGGCTTCGTGCACCAGCTTTTAAGTATGATCCCAATGTTTCAATATTAACGTACGTGTTTGAACTTTAGTCCTAAGTATTTCTTCAGCTTGGCTATGCACAATTCCTTTGGGCCATCAGATGCTGTTGACTAAACTTGCTCTTTCCCTTAAATGTCAAGAATAGCTCCTAAAGTAGCTGTAATAACAGTATTTTGTGTGTAGATGTAGTAGTGGATAAATTAACTTTCTCTTTTAAGGAGGACTTGCAACCTTCCTTACAGAAAGACTCTGTGTATGAATCTTAAATATCCTGAAATTAATTTATTGGATTGAGGGAGCTTGTGACTTTCAAGCAGTCATCTATTAAGCTAGTTTTTATCAAAACATTTTTCATGCTTGCTGGACATAAATAGCTCTGTTTTCCTCAGAGATCACCTTTGACTTTTAAGGAGACAGCAGATACATATTTTCAGTGAGGTATCTGGGTGCTTCACAGAGTAGCAAATGCTTGACATTGATGAAATTTTTAGTAACTAGGGGGTGTTTTAATCAGATTAATTCTTGCAACTCTTTTACTCCAGTTGAAGGCCCTTACCTGTCTATTCCTACTTTCCAAGAATCACAAGAAGTGACTTTAATTTTTTTTTCTTAGTGTTTGTGCTTGCGTAGAAAAAGAGCAATCTGTGAAGAACATTTGTTTTTTGTTATGTGTTGAGCTGTCTAGTGTTGAAACATCTGCTAAATCTTTGTATACAAACTAGAACCTAGATCTGTTATAAGCACGCTTAATTGGACATGACCTTTGTCAGTTTTTCAGGTTAAATCAAGGACATCTGTTAAGGGAAATTAATTACACTGATTCTAGATATTTAGCATACAAATACTCATATACATTATTTTTTTCATTTGGCTTTGATTTGGCTTTCAGGTTCTGTTTTAGTTATGGGGGACTTGAGTTGCAGTCCTAAGACTTAATTTTCACTTAATTTTCACAAAATATTTTTCCAGAAAAGACATGTCGTCAGTATCAGTAATTAATAAATAAAACCGGCAAATTCTGCTACTGTGGATATGAACTCCATGCAAGACAGGGCCATATGCTGGCTGCTGTTGTTGCTAATTCACCACTTCATTCTAGGGGCCGCCGTTCATGTTTTCACATAACTTTCCTAACTTCAGTTAGGAGTGATACTATCTTTATTGATACATATATCCTACTTAATCTTTACATTTTTTAAAAACACAGGTGCTGTGATCAATTTTTTTATCTGCTTGATACCAGTGATCATGTTCTTAATTTAATAGAACAATTTTTTGTTCTCTGAACTACAAAAACTTCAGAAATGTAGCACATGCTCTGCTGCCACAAATTTCTCAATATCTAGAAATATTAATGTTCTGTCCTCTGAATAACTGTAGGGCAATTCAAACCTTTAATAATGTTTTATATCTCTAAAATGTCATAAGACAGTTTTTGTAAATAGGTTTCCATTAACACTGAACGCTGTCCTGAAGGAACATACTACAACAGGTAGTGATCTTTGAACAAGTGTTATGTGTGTACTTGTGTACACATACACATATTTCAGATAAGTCTAATGTTTATATATAGCATCTGTGTATTAGTTTGTAATTAATTTGTGTTTTTTTTTTTCTTAGCAGTACATGATGCCAACTTCAAATGGAGGAACAATTTGTAAATTATACAAGATTACTCAAGGATTTTCTCAATCTGCACAGTTAACCTGAAAAAGCTCAGATAATATGTAAAATTAAAACTAATTCCTCTTTCATTTAAAAAAGTGCTTACACAATTTCAAGGTAATGTTACAGTTAACTATTTTTTTACGTTCTACTGTATTGGAATTTTAAAAATGACAGATACTAATTTAATAAAATGAAATTAATATAAAGCTGCATGTTACTTCTGTTTTAAAATATTAGCTTTATCATCAGAGGAAGAAGATGAAGAACAAAGCCTGTATTATTATAAAGTTAGTAAGTTGGTGATGAAAAATTGAGAGTGAAAAATAGGCTTAAAATATATTCATTTGATTTGCTTTATCTGTGAATTCTAAACATCAAGTAATTTTGTTAAAAAGTGCAAATACTGTTTTTATATTCCTTTTATTTTTAATCTAGCTGCCTGTATACCTCTTTGCTGTTTAATCAGTACAAGAACTGGGTTTGAACAAAAGTTAAAAGTAACTCCAGATTTTCACATTTTCTTATGGAAACACTATTTCTATGGAACTAATTCTAAGGATTTATCAATTTAATGTCAAAAATTTTAAATTATTTTCTGAGATTCTACAGAGTGCAATAAAAGCAGTATATAGATTGATATGTATTGTATGTTATCTACATGTCACTTTAACAAACTACTTATTTTGCTAGCACATTTCTATTAAACATATTTGCACCACAAAGATTGTAATTAAAGATTGTTTTTATTGAAGGATTGTGTGTTGTATGTTTAAAATAGGGAGTTTTAAATGAAGTTGAACTTTACATTTAGTTTTCTGTGTCACTTAACTTTCAGAATAATTCATAAATATTTTCATTAGTTTATATAAAGAACATGGCATCTGTGATTTATGCATTTCTTTTAACGCTGGCACAAGCTTTTTTTAAAAAAAAAAAAAAAGGTACCAAAGACCTATATATCCTTAAAAAATGTTGACATCCGTTTAATGTTCAAACCTCTACCTTCATTTGTGAAACATAAGGGTATTTTTAATAGATATGATTTAATTGTTTTATTGTATTGTTAATAGCATTTGTTTGGATCAGCTGAGATAAATCTGATATAAAAATATGCTCAGGAACAAAGATCCAAAATTGATAACATTTATCTGCGGTTTCTACCGTGCCTATAAATAGGGAAATGTTAACTTCCTGCTCCATAAAATGATGCATTTTTGCAAACTTCTTTGGGCCGGTTTGAAGCCATATCATGACTCTTGCTCATACTTCACTTTTTGCACGTTGCCATTTCTGGCTCATCTTAAGGTTTTCATACTCTTATGTCATCTGTTTACATGAGATCTTCTGGTTCAACCACTTTTTTTTTTTTTCCTCACCCAGACCTTGGTTTTTTTCAACTCCTTTGGAATGTTTCTCGCTGTATTATTACTCAGAACCTTTCATATAGACTTTTTTTTTTTCCTGCGGGTATTTTATTAATTCAGGCTTATTCTTGCTAAAAATGGAAGTTACTTCATCACCCCTCTTCTTTTGAAAAACTTGTATCTTCTGAATTACAACTTTTTGCTTCAGAGGAAAAAAAATAAAAGCAAGATCAGTGAATTGGAGTTTCCTGCAAGGGGAGGGGAAGCACGAGAATCTGAAACGCTAGACAGAGCTCTGACACCAGGGGTCTGTTACAAAATGGTGATGTTTCATTAACTGCCTGAGCTAGGCAAGGAAACTACTGGCAGGCAAAATGTCACTGCACCGTTTTCTTCTGTTTTGCTATACTTCACTTAAAATGTGTCAGATTGGCTTTAGAAGTGAGCTGTCATCGCCTGGAAGCTGCAGAGAGAGAAGGAAGGGGTAATACAATTCAGAGAATTACATGTTCCTTGTGCTGCAGCAAGCACGGAAAATCCTTGGGAGAAATAGAAATTTAAACAGACGTAAGTTGTCATTAACGGTCGTATATGGTGTCTGTGAAATACTAAAAGCAGAGATTGCACCATGATTTATATACAGAGAAAAATACTTAGCTATTATGACATGTAACAGTCTTAGACTCCCTAGTGATTGGGAGATTTTACATCAGAAAGAATGCTTCTTTAAAAATTTAATACTATTGTATGTGCCATATATGTAAATATAAAAATAGGGATTAGCCTGTTTACATCCAGGGCATTGAAGGCATTCCTCTTCACAGAAAGCATTAAAGATGAAGAGTAAAAACAGAAGTCTCATCCAGATGGAAGAGCAAGACTGGTTCAATGCACTAGCTGTCCAAAGAGCTGGGGACGGAAGTTGAAAGGAGCACGGACTAGCTTTCCAGGCACCTTTTAGGATTTTTGTCCAAGAAATAGCCTATGGCAGCAGGTGGTATCGTTAGATTTCAGAAGTAGCAGAGATATTCCGTGGTGGATGGAAGCTCAAAAGGTTGTTTTTCCCTTGCTTTTGCTTAGATTTTATTCTTGGTTATGTCTTTAGGCTGAACTCAGGAAAGGTCAGCACAGAGGAGGGGTGTTGTGTGTGTGTGTGTGTGTGTGTGTGTGTGTTGCTGCGGGTGTAGTGATGTGCTGCCACCTGACAGCCTCTGGGCTCTTACAACCTGCAACAGCTTTCAGGCTATCAGAAACTGCCTTCTCGTCCCTGAGTGACGGGATCATTTTTGAAACCTGGTCTTCTAAATACTGAAATGCAGAAATAAACTTGGCAAGTTTAGAGCAGCATCCCCTAAACAAGGAGCAGACCAGATTGACAGCTGACAGCCTCAGGTGTTTCCATCATTACACTTAGAGCTAGAAGAAACAACATGTGGCACAAACAGGAACTCCAGCAAAAGGAAGGGTTGGAAGCTGTTCAGATGCAGCAACAGTTTCTCTTCTTTAGCATGGCAGTTTATAGTGTTTCATCGGCACGAGCACAGATACAAGAAACCAAGAAGCTGCGCCTGCCTGCCTGGCTGAGCAGCAGCGGCAGATGCTCAAGGCGTTTGCTGATCAAAGCCTGTGAAAAGGATGTTCCATCCCCATCTGTTAGTTACATCCTGCGCCCTGCATGCTGCGGAGATGACCTGGTTTCTTTGTAGAGGGAGGGGGCAGGTGGATTCAAGACCATATTGCAAGAGGGGTTTAATTGTTACCCCATCCCCACCGACGGTGTTTGCGGGCGGTGTGTTGTTACATCCGTGGCTGCGGAATGCATTAGGATCTGGCTTCTGTGAGCGTTGCTGTGTTCGTTTCACAGAACAGCGGCCCAGCCAGCACGGGCAGCG